AGTTTCAGCCGGCATGCAGACATCTCCGTTAGTTCCCGCCCGTGTGAACCAATGAAATTGAAAGATACAAAAATGGCAAAGTTGCTGGCAAGAAGGGTATACACCTTCTTAGTTCTAGAAATACTTCTGATAGAATCATTGCAGGACTCGAAGTGGAGTAGAGACTTATCTGATGTAAAACACCATAAAAACTTTTCCCATATCATCTCACTCATTTTAGGACTTTCTGAGCACCTCACATTTGAAGCTGCAGCTTGTGTCGGGTTTTCTTACGGGTCTGCTGGTTCTGTTTATTGTTGGGTACTTTGTTGCCGCACTCGTGAACGTAAGTCCGTTGGTTTTTACGTCATGTAAATTACCCTCTTTCCCAAAAGTGCATGGTTGGAAATTTTATCCAGTAGGATAACTTTGTTTCACTTCTAAGTAGGTAAGAGTGAGAAAAAGAAACCTTCTGCAAATAAGGAATTCGGCTGCTTTGCATAATTTACGCTACCAAAAATTTCGCTCGCTATTTTGTTTATGTATCGGCTGAAGTATAGAAGAGTTCCTGGAACGGCAAAGACAAGGGAAAACTCATAAAGTAAGCTTGTGAGGATCTATCCAAAACCTTGACTTAGTTACTTACCACTTTTGTAACTATAAATCGGGCAAAAACAAATAGATTTCGTCAAAAAAAGAAGGAAAAGTACTCGTGCATAGCTTAGAAAAAACAATTCACGAAGGGCTCTTGCACATTTGGCAAAATTTATACAGTAGCCGGAATATCACACTGGAGCATAGTGTTATACTGTAGCACGATTTCTATGAAAGGCTTTTTTAAAACTTTTAAGAATGTTTTTGTGTCATCCTCAGAGACTCTTTTTTTCTAAAAAAACTTTGAACTAAGTTTTGAAGATTTGTTTGCAGATATGGTGTTTCAACGTAGTGCTGGATTGTTATCGATGGCTAGGATTTCAGCTGGAGGAGAAAAGTCGCGCTCTCAATCGCAAAGATATACCGATCTCAGGCATTGATGCCAAGCCAGTGACCGTAATACATTCCACTGATTTTTAAGCAGCATTGCCATTACATTGCCTACATACATCATGTTGTTCTGATTATTCCGTTACGTTCCGGTACCTTCATTCAGTGCCTTACATTTGTTTGTTTGAATATCAGTTCTCTGTGATATTCTCAAGGTTATTTGCGGGTAGTTAAAGCCAGTTTCTTATGATGATGTGCCTTATGCAAATGTGCACTCGCTAGATCACCTTTCAAAGGATGTAACAGTAGGAGCAAATCCTGCTTATGGTGCAGTTTTTTTAGAATAACATTAATTCATGTTCGGTTTTCTGCATTGGTGACGTACAGTAAATAGTTTGAATTAGCATAACTTATCCGAATAATTAGTCTCAGCGTCTAAAGATACAAATGAGAAAAAGTCAGTTAAGATTAGGTCTGAGCTTAAGGTCTTCGGTTGAGCCTTACGAGCACGGATGCCCTCTTGAAAATCCAGCAAATTCGAAATACCTTTTAATCTGTAGGAGCGCAACAGGGCAAGTAGTGCGGCGCGTTGAAATATACGAATCAAGGCCCTAACAAAAAAGAGAGGAAGTGCTTTGATGTAGTTTTCGCTATAAGTTGGCCCAAGGAGTGCATAAAAAGTGTACATAATAAAGAAAGCAAACTTATGAGTAACAAGACAATGTTTGCCATTCGGAGAACATCTCGAGAAAGGTACGGCCAATTTTTTTCCTCATAAGCTTTCAAATAATGCAATCCTTAAATTCTTTGTGCACATTTCCGACCAAATTTTGAGGCCCCTTATCGTCTGTTCACTGTAAAGAACAGTTTAATTGTATTTTTAAAAATACTTATGGAAATTCCTGTGCAGATGCTTAAACCTTGGAGCAGGATTGTGGACATCCTAGCTGTGTGATAGGGAGTTGTCGGGGACGGTTGTAAACCGAGTAGGGAAAGGTGAAAAGAAGAAGCTACATTTTCTCTTATGTAGAGCCCTGTGACAGTTTGTAAAAATGTTTATTTGCTCCAATGAGCTTTATTTGAGAGATCTCCACTATTCTTCTACCTCACAAAAGACATGGCGAAACAGAAGATAATCACAGTTCTT